GAACATGTCTTTTAGAAAGGTGCAGTTCCTTCCCATGTTGTCCCGGTTTTGGTCTTTTGTCACTGCTTTGTGGAATTTTGTTTTCCAGGAAGAAAGAAGGCAAACAAGCCTAGAAATCAAAGTTAGTGGTAATATACACAGAGAGACCATAACATCCAGCAGCATTCTTCATTAGATTCCTCAATTAATTTAATTCGTAGTGAAGATGAACAGTTTTCCTCTCTAATTCAGTAGTTTGCTAATTCTTAATACTTCAGTGTCATTATGTCTTTCTGTAAGGGTAAGTTATTGTAGCTTATTTTCAACACAACCAATGAAAATAGCAATTGAGCAGACATTTGCTTTACTGGGGTTTAGCACTGTGGCAGTCTCTGCCATTAGCTGATTCGAGATGTTCTGCTTACACATGACTTTTGTGTTTTTCCTCTCCACTCTTGTTAAGTCAGTACATGCTCAAGTGGTGCAGTTGCTGGAGACAGAAAGGTATCTGATAAGCCTTGTACTGTGCAGATTATAGTAGTTGAATGCTCTGTTACTTATTACAGAAAGGCCAGGGAAAGAAAGTTGATGAACATATACAGAAGAGAAAGTACCAAACCCAAAAGCTTCCTCAACACTTAGTAGACCATGTCCTGAAAGTGTTGCTGAATACACAGGCAGTAACGTAGCTGAGCTGGTGGAAATCTGTGTTGTAGCTGATAATACAGACTCACCAGAGTTTCTGCAGCAGCAGAGCAGTGATGCTCTGGAGACCACAGAGTCCTATGGCATGGTGCTAGAGGTTGAGCCGTGTGACAGTTTTAGTGTTTCGTGGATAGTTTAGTCCTTCATTGGGCTGACAGGAATTCAGTGCTCCCACTCACTCCAGCAAACAATAAAAAAAAAGAACTTAAAGAACTCACTTCAATTTTCAGAGACTCAATTAAGCCAAAAAAAAAAAGGTGACTTAATGAAAGAAGAGTAATATCTGGTGAAAAGGGGAGAGGAAAGAAGTCACCTTCACTGGTTAACATATTTTCTGCAGATGCAAAATTACTAAGTACCAGAATTTTTCAACTATTCTGAAATTTGGCTATTGCCTTACAACTCCTGCCAGTTTTCCAAACAAAACAATGCATTACAATTATTTTGCCAACAGCCCAGCCTGAACACAAGGGAAGAAAGGCACCACTTCTACCATGTTTACATATCAAATGCCATTGTTGCTTCTCATGAAGGACAGTGATTTAAGGTAGGAGATCAGAAACGACACAGAAGTACAGAAGAGAGGGATAAGATTGAGTCACCCCTAACAGACCAGTTAGGAGAAGCCATTTGTTTTGCAGATGAACTCACACAAATTTTGCTGAATAACACTTGGGTTCCTGTAAAGAAAACAATACCAAACAGTTGAAAATATGTAAACAGGCCTGGCTCCAGGCACTTTTACCAAGTTAAAACAGAGAGAGCAAAACCAGTAGCAACAATAACACATAACCTGAGTTCACTGCACTGCACAACACACTTCTGTCTGCCTTTATCTGAATGGATATGACAATCCTTAAGCTGTTCAGTGCCTAACTGACCCCCCTAAAAAAGAGGTGAGTTTTCTAAAGGGCTAAGAAGGTTGTTTAATATTATTAATCTTATTCATCTGTTTACTCTTATTAAATATTGTCAATGTTGCAAATGCCAAGTTACACTATTCATTTAACATACCCCATGTCCATCTCCAGGTGGAGAGCAGTGTGTGCCCATAGGGGAGGAGGAACTTGCTCTTCCTGGCAGCCCAGTGCAGGGTGAGGGGCAGCAGCCTTGCCTGGTGCTCTCGGAGCGTCCTGGCAGTTCGTGGCTGGATGGAGGTAGAGGCTCTGCCACAGTATTTATTACAATTTTTACTGTCCAGCACTGGGGATCAAACGTCATGCCAGCTCTGCTTCTCTTACATTAGTGGTATTAACTTAGCAGTGCCTTGCTTGAATTTTAGTTATTTGGTCACTGTCCCAGTCTCAGCCTCTTTTAAAGACTCTAAATATTTCTGTTTCATCAGAGTGATAGGACAGCAGAAATGATAGAAAATGCCAATTATGGTATACAATATAAAGGTCCTATATAATATAGAGTACAATTATTAGCTGTTATGGAAAGCAGAAATCTGTATTTCTCTAGCACATAGAGCATGTTCCACAAGTGGCTGATGTACCATAAGAATCCAGTATTTTTCATCTTTTTGGCAGTGAATTTCATAGGGATTGAAGCTGAGTGGAGCAAAGCAAGTCAGAACATAGACTCAGACATCCAGCAAATGAGAGACTTAATAGCAAGAAAATGGTTTGGGGGTCTTAATGAAAGTTGTGATATCATCATAGAGGATTTTGTACTTGAGGCTTCTCAGTCTCAGTCACAGCTACCAGCCACTCCTCCTGTTGCCCTGAACAAACTCCTCCCAAGTGGACAAGATACTTTTCTTCAAGTTTATTTAACTGAGAGTGACTTGGAAATTTTATCACCATGGAATGGTAATCACAGATATGATTATCAGCATAAAAAGACTACTGTTTAGCAATAGTTTTAACGCCACAAATTTTAAAATTCCACACTATTTTTCATACTTAGAAAAGATCATATTTTTCTCACATATTCTTTTCTACTGACTTCTGGAATAAATAGTATGGCACCAGTTTAAATGCAATAGGTATGACATTTAACTAGTATGTTATCAGGTGTAACTTGGTACAGAGATACTCCATTTCAAAGCTACATCCATCAGATGTGCATAGACCTGAGTTAGAGTTTGGCTGTGTTTTAGACATCCTTAAATAGACATGCTTGAGATCATCTCAAGAGCAGTCATAGAAATAAGAGTCCAGAAAGACAGAAGTTAAGAACAGGCCATCAGCATTGTTCTGATTAAATTGTTCAATCATTTGCCAGTTTAAGTTTGGTAGGGAGTGAAGAAAAGCAATTTTTTTAGATATTCAGCTTTATGAACTAAAAAATAATAGTGGGTTTTGCCTATATGAATATTCTGAGACTTCTAATATTAGAATAAAGTGGTCAGCCACCTAGTCACACCAAGACAAACCTGAATGCTCCTTAGCATTGTCCTAAAACACCATTCTGTGAGAAAAAAACTGTCTGTTCTTACCAGCTTTCAAGTTAAAAAAAGCACCTTTTGTAGTGTGAGCTAAGTTAATATTACAATTTTATGTATGATTTTGGTTCGGCTTTGCTTTCCTCAACTTACGGATGCATCTGAGCAGCATCTGAAATATTTTATCTTGGAATTTCCTTGGCTTTTCTATAAACTTAAGGAAAAATGCTTATAGCTTTGCCATATGGAGGCAAATGTGGCACATAAACCAGTTTCTTGGGACAAAAGCCTTAAGTAGGTAGATTATACCATGAGTGACAGATGCTTTAATTAACATATCTGGATTGAACATCAGATTTGCTTCAAGTTGCATATGCATATTTCTTAATGTCTTTAGCCTAACCACTTCTTTGTAAGAGCTGCATTGAAGTCTGTAGAAAAAGAGTACCTGTCCAAGTTTCAGAAGATTTGGAGTCCAAAACAAGCAGGTTTCTAAACTTTGTAAAAAAAACTGGCTTAACAATTTAGAAATTGCTCAAATTTTTATTTTTTTTAAAAAGTATGATAGGAAGTGTAAGAACTGACAAAAGAAGGAAATTATTTAACTGTTCCATGCTTCTGCATGTCAGTTCAGGTTTGGAGGTATTCCTTTCCATCCCATTTCACAGGCCAAATTGTACTTTAGTGAGAACTTACTTTGGATTCAGAAAAGTGAGGTGACGAAGATGCCAGATGTTGACTGTGGTAGAAATGTGATTACAGACTGGACTATCTTTCAGTTGTCATATGCAGTCACTTTTGGTCTGGATTTGGACTGGTCACTCACAACCAGAGTTTCTGGGAGCTGCCAGTTGAACTCAATAAATATCTCAGTGCTTGGTTTCCTTCCTTCATACAGTGTGCACAGCCAAGTTAGAAATTTTATGCAATATCACGCAACTATTTTGTGGAGGTGTTGTTCAAACTGCAATGCTTGCACTTTTTAAATTGATAGTGTTTTGTATCTTTTATGGTAGTATACAGATTCTAAAATCTGAATTTACGAAACAGAGATACTAATAGCAAGAGAAATAGGCCCTCCATGAAGATGGTAGTTATTTTTTATCAGACTTTTCACCCTCCATCACAAGTTTTCCATTCTGTTTTCTTCATCTTCTAGTTCCTCCTGGCACCACCTCTCTGTGCTGCTCTGTTCTGTCTCTTTTTACTCTGGGCCATTTCATTTGTACTGTTCTCCAAGTCTCTGCAATAGAGCAAGGAATAGAGCCTTCCACAAACATTATTTTCTCCTGTAGCTGCTGTCCCCTGAAGCACAATTTCCTCCATGTTTCTTCCTTCCCATCCTGTATGGGCCACTAGCCAAAATGGCAGCAGTACTGGATTGCATGCGTGTAACCCTCTATAACTTGTTCCAGCTGAAGCCCTGTATTAGCTGACATTTTGGACTTTTCCAGGCTGATACGCCAACTTCCTTCAGGGCTTCCCTTCAGTTCTGATGCCTTCCCCATCCCCAGCAACGTGCTCCCCTCTGTGCCCTTTCTCGGTTGCAGAACTGATGAGCTCTGCTCCTCCTAGTCCTGTGGTGGTAAACACCACTGCTGGGGGACGTGCCTGCAGCATGGGGTCCTCCTGCTCCCATCCTTCAGCTTACAGTGTGTCTGATGATGCTTCTTGCTCTGCACTACGGCCAAAAAAAAAGGTACAACTTAGAGATCAAACCAGAAAGCGGACCACTATGGCTCAATTGCAATAGTGTAATCAGGAGCAGAATCTGACCCATATTAAACACACCAGTGCACATGTCCTCGTGCAGAAAGTCGATGTTCACAATGTTCCCATGTGCAGCTCTATCAGTCACTACTCTGAAATCAAACAATTGTGGCATATCCTTCTTATCTAATTCACATATTTTGTTCCCTCTTTGTAGAAGAACTTGTGAAAAATGTTGGTGAACAGGAAAAAGAACAAAGCAGAAATTCCACAGATGCACAGTTACAGGAAGAGACAACAAGGATACAAAATGAGAGTAGTCAGGGAAGCGATGGTACAACCTGTCCTCCCAGATCCATCGTCCTACAAGTAGTCTCTTTCGACACTCCTCTGAGTGATGAATCCAACTCAGAAAAGTGCACTAACTCTGATCCGAACCAGAAAGATCTCACCGATGCCCAGCAAGAAACACAGAATACAGACCCACTGAATGGTAATGCTTCATCACAGAGCACCAGTCAATCTAATGAAGCTGTCCAGGGTGAAGCTGCAGCAGTGTCTGGTATCTCCCTGTCAAACATCAACAGTAATGTAAAATATCAGAATAAGGTGTTGTACAAACCACCAGCGTAAGACAGTTTCTTCAGGCATGTGTAGAAACAGTAGTGTTCTAAAACCATCAAAGAAAAGCTGTTTGGTATAAACAAATATCATCATCTTGATATTAGCTGTTTGGTATCTAGTAGAAATTTTTTTACATAAAATACCAAGACCTTTAGTTGAACTGGAAGAATGATTTTAAAGTAATTTAAAGATGTGTATTTGCAATTATATAGCAGTTTGTTATTGGAGAATGAGGTAAACTTTCAAAACAGAACGATCTAACATTTTCTCTTCAAATAGGTAATTATTCTCATGCTATTAAAATGCACCCCACTTAGTTTAGGCACCTAATATGATTATTATTTTGTAAAACACATCCTTTGTACTAAATGTAATGTAAATTTTAGAGTTAACTTTAAGTAGATGGAATTTACTAACTGTAGTAGGCATTGGACTGTGTCATTCTCTTAATCAGAAACATCAGTCTCCTGACTGTAGTTTGCAGGACAAGCGGAGCAGCCAGAAAATCCCTATAATGTCAGAATATTTTTTTAGAATGTAAGTATTTTATCACAAGCTGACTATGATTTAATATCTGATGATTGTAAGACAGTATCAAGGGCAAGATGCCCAAACAATAAGAATAGATGTTATCAAAGTAAGGGAAAGACACTGTGCATTTTCATTTTATTTTCTGAATTTGCTTATTGTTAGAATAAGCTTTGAGGTATTAGGGTAATGAGAATAATCAAGGCATATAATGACACTTCTTTTCCTCACTTCTAATTAAAATGCTAAACTCATTAATGCTTTTATGACAGTGAGCCTTGCAATATTGTGCCAGAAGTATGGCATTGTCTGAGCAGCAACATTGAAGTGCTTATAAGGCTTAGTCTAGACATAAGTATATGACTTGGCATATTTCTCAAAAATGCTTTTTATGGAGAGCTCCCACTTATTCTAGAGTCCCGCATTCCAGTACTCCATGCTTTTATTGTTGACAGTTTTTTTCCATCAGAAATAACAGATGGTTAATTTAGGGTCCTAAATCAAAATATTTACACTAAAATTAATTTCCCAGCATTTGAAGTTGTCTAATAATTGACGTTTTTTGTCTTTTGACATGTATTTTTTGCACCAATATTTGTATTAAAGCCCAACTTGAAATTTAAGTGCCTTAGAAAAGTTTCCCATCTGCTGGATGAGGAACACAGTAGGAAAAGCTGTATCTTTTATCTTTCATACTGTGCAGAAGGCAGTTGTGGTGTAGCTGTCCTTGGGCGCCTTTAAATGGCTGATCAACAAAAATGCTGTTTGAGAGGTCAGATACAACTCAGCATGAAGTTAGTGCACTCTGTTGCCTTATCAATCTTTACATTCCACCTTTCCTATGAGAACAGAGATTTCTTATTTTAGGAAAAGCTAATCTCATTCATTTTCTAAGGCAGGGAATTTTCTACAGAATGCCTTGTATTTTAACACTTCAAACTGCAAAATTTATGAAAAGGGTAAGAAGTAGTTGAGTTTGTAATAGTGTATTTCCAAAGGCAAACATGATCTGGAAGCTATTCTTCTCTTGAAGATGGTAAAGATTTAATAACATCAATTCCACCAGTCCAAGGATGTTCCTTCACTAGAGATGGCAATATTCAAAAAGAGTTCAGATAAATAATGAAATAGAAATAAGAGATTGATTTCATTATTTTGTGGAAATAAATAGTATTGGTAAGGTCCTGAACTAAAAGCCAGAGCTCATACGAGGACATTGCTCAGCTCTTGCATCACTGAAGAGGCAGTGGTACTTAAACCACAGACTAATAAAAAGCCATGGAAAAAGGGGAGATATAGTAGGAGACATAACTGCATCAAGTGATTAATCACACAGTAAGAGAAGCAGCAAATTATTTTTAAGGCAACTCCAGAGGCTGAGCGATGAGCCAATACTCCTTTACTGGGATCCCCCAACTTATATCTGAGCCATTGTAGGTTTTGCAGCACACATCTCAGTTGCTGCTGATTGCGACAGAAAGTTTTGGTATAAAAATGTAGGTTTCTCTACTGAAACTACATATCTATGTCTGAAAATCTTAACCTGCTCTATAAAGATCTTTGGAAATGAAATGGAGCTGAAAGAATTTTTCTCCAAACCCTCCTTTACTACAAGCTGTGCCTTTTCCTGCTGGCGAGAGTGTGTAAAAAGTAGAGGCTACTGCTCACACCATTGATCGAACACATGCCCAGCCATTGTAAAATTCTGAACAGGTCTTCAAATTAGTTTGAAAACTGTTCATCTGATACGGTTTGTGAACAAATATAGTCATCAATTCTTGGTGTTGTCATGGGAAATTATATTGTCACAGGAAATGATATTGTTAAAATGCTGTTGTCATGGGAAATTCAGAGAATTTATGCATTCCCAATTCTTTGGATCTTGCATTCTAGAATAGTGACTTTTCACCTATTTAGACCTGTGAATCCTTAAAATTTTTCCAGTGGAAATGTGCATCCCTTGTCAGCCAACTTAAGCCTACAGAAAGTGAGTTCGCATTTCTTTTAGTCCGATGAACTTTTCATGGATCCCCTCATAAGTAATTCATAGTCCCTCAAGTCAGAAAACCACAAGATGAAGCCGGTTTTCTGATTTACGCCATCACAAATTTTTAGTACAATGCTACTATGAATAGAATAAGTGTATTGGTTAGGTGTTATTTTTAAAGGCATCTGATATTTAAAGGTGTTTTTAGTTATCATTTTATGTGAAACTTCTGTTCACTGTGGTATGTTGAATTTACTCTCATCCATCTCCTTCAGTGATCATTTGTGTTCATTTTCCAGCATAGATAGATACCCAGGTAAATGGAGAGCTTGATGAATGTTTTGCCTGGTTTCTGTAGCATATTAATGTCAGAGTCCAATACTCTCTGACCAGTTTTTTTTAGATATTCCACGCGTGAAGGATATAATGTTTAATATCAAATTTACCTGTTTGAAGATAGTTGATGTTACATGGAATTTCAGATTTAGCAGAGCGATACAAAATATACTGAAAGCACACTACAAATGTAAGTTACACTTAGCAAAGTAGAGCAGTTGCAATACACAGCTCAATGACAATGCTGATGTGAGTCCCATTACCAGACTTGAGAATATGCTCACCGTCACGATGCTGGGTGTCCCCAGACACCAGTAAGGCATACATGGGTTGAAGCCAGCTCAAGCCCGTTGCTCTCTTCAAAATTCTTTTGCTAGTTGTTTAGTTTTTATACTCTATATTGGACTGAGCCACCTATTCACTCCCTTCATGCTGGCCCGGCTAACTCAGGGAGACAGTCATGCTCTTCCAGTGAACTCAGGGAGAAACATCTACACCATGGGTCGATTCCCTCATCTGTGATATAGTCAGTGGATCCATTCAACTGACGTTAAGTGCTTATCTAAACCGGAGGCCACCCTCCGCTCCCCTTTGTGTTGAGGTTGTCAGCTTTCTTTGCAACAGCTCTGGTCAGTCATCCCTTGCATTACCTCCTGAGCTTGATGGGCACATCCCCCTTGCCCATCTCCATTGAGCCTTCTTCCATTGTAGGGGTTTATTGGTCAGTCACGATATCATTTACATTCTGATTTTATGTCATTGAATAGTTTGATTTATACTTTAAATTTAATAACATTTCATTCTTGCATTTTCCCTATTTTCCCAATATTTAAATGTCATAGAAAAATATTTTGAATGTTTTATGGTCTTTTGAAATGATTTACAGAGGGACTATGTCATCATATTCTTAAAACTTTCTTTCCTAAGGACAGACCAGCCATGTTACTATATAGTGAGAAATCTATCTATATATTATTTAAATACTATAATCTTTTAAGTCAGCACTGACCCTTTCACAGAACTTTATGCTTCTGATAAACCACAGAGGAGACCTAATATTAATTTCTCAACTATGTCATAGTAGATATAAATAAATGACATATATGGTAGGCTTTTTCTGTGCCTGCTGATTAAAAAGGTATACTGCAGGTATTTACATCACTGTAATGCTCAGGGGCCAGGGCAGCAGACTTTCTACAAACACATGGTGAGACTCGGGTCCTGGCTCTTTGAGATGAAATGAAATAATATGGGGTTTCAGCAGCAGCTTTAAGTACCTCTGCAGAGATTGTGCCACAATGTTAAAGATAACTGAAAAGAAAGGCAATGAAGGCATTTAGTATTGGAGTAGTCTGCAATACTCAATACCAAAGGGAAAACTCAGGCTAAAGTGTTTCACATTTCTCTTTCACAGTGATGAAATGATTTAATATCATTCTAAATGGAGGGAATTGCATTAAACTCTCATTGTTGTTGTCTAAATGTAGATACTTAATATTAGTGTTTTTTGCAAGAGTTTTCATTGCTGCAGTACGTAGAAGCCTCGTAACTACAAATAGCACAGCAGTCTCTGTTTTCTCTTCTCACTCCCCCCTCCTTTTTCTCTATATAAGCGATGTTTGAGTGTGTTGTGTATGATGCAGTAGCACTCGGCACAGAAGGGAGATATAGCACGGGTAGCATCCCCACTTTTCACTTTTGCACCTCTGTTGACGGCCGGTGGATCCAGACAGGACTCTTAACCAAGGTCAGATATTTTCAATGGAATGTCACTTCAAGCAAGCAGAAGGTAGCATACACATGACCTTGCATTTTTTCCTTGCTTCCCAAATTAGAGTTTTCTAAGAGTATTAATAAATTAGAGTATTCTAAGAAGCACTATACATCTATCAGGACATTATTAGCACTCTCCATGCTAGATTTTTCTACCTCTGTACTTTCTGTACTGAGGGGGGGGTTGAAGACTAAAGCGACGTCCAGAGTGCTTGCTGACTCCCAGGGCAGAGAAGTAAGCGCCTGCAGGCGCTGGGGCTGGGAGAAAGAGAGAGAAAGTAAGAAGAAATGCAACATAGGTATTCAGATTGAAATGTCATATGTTAGCTGTCATTGTTCTGTCTTTATAAAAAGCAGAAAACTCAATTTGGTTTTCTGTGGGTAAGCGACTGAATTATAACAAAGATGGGGAACACAGGGGAGGATGATCTATCTGCATTGTTGGGAACTGTCACTGAATGTTTGGATGTACCGTGATGAAGGGGCTTCCCCATTAAACAAAGAAAAAAGGTACTGTTTTCCTCTCCTTGTATCACATCTCTTTCTAGGTATAGTTCTTGTAGACTATCGCGTTTTATTAACAAACAGGAGTAGCTCTGCCCTGTGTCCTGGTCAGTGCGAAGGGAGAACCAGAGGGTTGCTATTACAAGAACTCCAGTTGTGACTCAATGTCGTTTTTCTCCACAATACCTTTGTCCTTTCCATCATCTCACTTTCATTTAATTGAATGTTACAAGGTTAAGTGGAACTATTATAAGGTGATTTTTTTTTTAAGTGGTGATTTTCCTTTTCTCCTGAGTGATTTATTAATTAGAACATTAATTTTAAAAACTGCTTATGTTTAATTAAACAACTCCATGTTTCAATGATTTATAAATGCTAATTGGCACACTTTTAACTTTTCACTCATGATGATAGCCACATTAATCCTTAATATCAAAATGTAAAGGAGATAATAAATCTGTGATAAAACAGATTATCAGTAACTTCAGTCTATATGACAGTAGAGGACTACCCAGCCACATCGAATTATACAAAGCATTCAACGTCATCAGCAGTCAGTAACTGAAAGCCTCCGGAGGATAGCCGGGTTAAATAGCAGTGGACAGATCCACATCAACAACATGCCAGTTTGATTTATGGTAATGCAAGTGGCATCAAAGAATCATCCGTGCCATGCAAATGCTGGTGACCGTTCAGTGCCGCGGTGGTCCTGTGGTGCTCAGTCAAGCATGGAATCCTTTGCATCCATGCAAAGCGGGCGCAGATCGCTGTGGTGCCTGGTTCGTTAGCGTTCCTTGTGCACACTGTGTGGGTAAACAGAGTAACAGTAAATCAGAATCCTGGTACTAAGGGAAGGTGTCCGTGTTCGTGCACGGGATGAGGATGGAGGGAAAGTATATTAAAAGAGCAAACAATGTGTTTATAAAAAGGATACGGATTATAAGGTAACAGCCATTAGCAACCATTCATAGGGCAGAGTTTATCACAAAAAAACTGATGCACTGACAGGAGGAAAGTTATGTATGGTTTAGAAATTAATGTTTAGTTTTTATGAAAATTAAGCATACAGAGTTTTTGTTTTAAAGCCTCCACAAACCACTCCTATCCCACTCCTAAAACTACTAACCACGCTATGCCAAGTATAAAATTTAAATATTTAGATCAATAGGTTTTACTTTCATCCCCCTCCCCACCCCCTTTTTTGTTTTTATGGATAATAATAAAAGTTTTGCTAAATCCCTCCAAAAACAACCGCAGGCTGAAAGGTCTAGAGAAATTCTTGTTCTAATTCATGTTAGTCCAATTTCAAGACTTGGAGAATTGGTTGTCTATATTCCACCCACACTAAATTTATGTAAAATAAGGGGGTGGGGAAGAGTGCTGCTTGAGGGAATATGGCCCATCTGCTGGCGGCCACATTACAGCGTGGGCAGCGCCCACTCTGCCACCGTTCACAGCAATGAAACAGGGGCAAAATCAGTAGCAATTCTCACTTGTTTACAGTGATGCCATGGTGGATTCATAGCTGTTAATTTTCTTCTTTCCTTATTCTCATTCTCATTCACTCCCTTTCCTCTCTTCCCTTTCTCTTTTCTAAACTGAGAGCCTTTTCTTCAACTTCAACCCGCCATCTTTCAATTTTCCTTTCAGGTCACACATCATCCGCTTTCCCTTTCAGCTGCTGGTACCTTTGTTTTCTGTCTTTCAAAAATCTTCCCCTAACTGTATTTTTATTTTTATAACTTTTATGCTTCTCCCAGCTCATCTTCTCTGCTTTGAGACTTCTGTGCTTTTCCTTTTTCACATTTTCAGTTCAGCATTATTAATCACTGGTGGGATCATTCAATCAACTGGTTAAAACTGAGAAGTTACTACAGAGTTAGTAAATAACACTGTAAGTTTGCTACATTCTCCCCATGCCTACTATCTCAGTTTTTAATTTCCTCAGCTGTACTCATTCAAAATTACTGAAGGAATAGTCTAAGCAACAGCTTAATATTGTGATTGGAGGTTTGAAATCCATGTTGTATCACTTAGTTTGAAAGCTGCTTGTGTCACTTGGTGTCATTTCTCCTATCTGATTGAATTAATTGAATTCTTAGAACTTGACACTGGCATCTTTCATTATCTGAGAGAAGCTTACTCCCAATTTGAAAGCCTACATTAAAGAGGATTTAAACAGCACTTTGCTGCAGAGGGTGAATTTTGACTTTCAGCAAGTTGGAAGATAAAATAAACCAAACCCAAACCCACTTTATTAACACTCACGTAAATGTCTTCATATTTTTGTTTCATGATGTGATCTATTGCTTTCATTCTATCTTTTGCCTTATGGATAAACCATAATGTTTAGTTAATTCAATCCTGTGCTTACTCTGGTGAGAAAGCAGTTAAAGAAAGCAGTGCCTGAAACCTCATTTTAACCTTAAAAAAGTCAGGGGGGAAAGGTTCCTGTCTGTCTAGGGCTGTGCAGATTCTCTTAACTTGGTTAACTTCCACACTCAGGTTCCCAATCACGTTTGTTTATCTTCCAGGTGAGCCTAAACACTGTAAGAAGTCAGAAGATATTGTAAAAGCCACTGAGCAGAAAGAAGCACTGATAGAGAACTAGATTTGCTATTTATTAAGAGCTTCTGACATTTCAGGCACGACAGGTAATTTTGTCATTTCTTTCTTATAATGGGGAGGGTTTTATACCATAAAGACTCACTTACTGCTGTTATTATCCTCTTTGTTCTATTCCAGTTGTGGTTTTATTACAACATTTTTAAATGGGGATACAGTACACCCCACTTTCTATGTCCCCTTAAAAGCCATTCAATATAAAGAAGGGAAAAAAAATACTTTTACATCTCTGAATCATTAATGTCAGACTAAATGGTCATGCAATAAACCATCCTCAATTCAAGTATATTAAATACTGGAAGTAATGGTACTAAAAATCTATTGCTTATGAATTTTCGTTTGACTTCTGTTGCAGGAGAAAAGAAGAACTCTAGCTGTTCCTACCCCGTGCTCTCAGAGGCTGTTATCTGTCAACTTGTTCTTGGATCATCCTGTTTCCGTGGAGAGTCATTGGACAAAATGATTGTTGTGGTTTGCCACAACAATGATCAAAAGTGTGAAATGCAAAACCCTGAGCTGGTAACTCAAGGCACTTAACAACTCGCAAGATTTCAGTTGTATTTGTTGTTGCTATTTCCTCTTCTATTCTGCTTTCTTAAAATAGCCAAAATACTTTTTTCAGCCAAAGTTGGACCTCGCTTTATTGCGTCACTGACACCAGGCATTTCCAGTTAACCATGAGACATGTGAAAACACAACATTTATCATCTGCACTGGATTGCTGCTACGTGTCACTGCTACTGGCGTCCAATGGAAAGGGAAAGTCAAAATGAAACATTGTTATAGATACTTGTTCATGCAACCGTCTGCATGCAACATTAAAGTCCTACTTGTTAGTTTCCTTAAAATATCTGGAAATAAAAATATGTAGACTGTACAGGGAAGTTCTAGAGTTATCCTGAGCAGCCTGCGTGAATGATGATTCTTCCCCACTGTGGTGGCTACTATATGGAGAGAACTGGTGTTTAACAAATCAGTATTTGAAATATCTCTTTAAAATTAATTAAATAGCATTCAGTATTAAAGATTAAAACATTCTCAGTCCTATAGTATTTTGGAAGACATCAGCAATGGTGTCAGCCCTACCATGAAGCTGGTGCTTATTGTTTTGTAGGGCGGAAGCGACAGCTGCAGGAATACATGAAAATTGCTTCACTTCAGCAAAATAGTGTGTTCAGTTCAGACAGAACTGGAAGGTGACACTGAGGCCTTATATCACAGTTTGTCTCAAATGCAAGGGTGACAACATGGATCCAGCAAATCCTTGCTAGCATTTCTTTCATTAAAAGAAAACACCAGACCATCTTTCTCTGAGAGGCAGTGAAAACGGAGCACGCAGGCAGTTACCTCTGCAAGAAGCCTCAGAATGAGCCCTCCAGCCCAAACTGTGCCCAGAAAGAGACTCCATTTTCATCTCCGCTTCCCTCCAGCTGCACGTGACCCCTCCTGGCTTGCCCAGGCATCCCATGCAGCTGCAGCCAACCTCATTTCCCTCTGCTGGAACCTGCCAGGAAAATTCCATGCTCCCCTTCGCATCGTAGGTGCTTGGGTGGCTCCAGTCACTGCACTCCCAGTTCTCCTTTTCGGACCCTGTGGTTATTACCTCACTGACCAAAAAGTCTTTACAATCACCCATGGTCTGCTCTGAAGAGGACTCGTGTGGGCGGTGGCACTCCCCTCTATGCAGAGGCTGACGGACAACTGAAACCTATGTGCTATTCAACTGCTGCTTCAGGGATCTAACCAGAGCTCAACAGGTATCAGGGTCAACCTCAACAAGGGATCGCTTTGTCCTGATTGAAGAAGGAATTGTAAAACAATCACCCTAGACTAAGGGACCTTACACGATCATACCTGTTGACTGTCTCTTTTCTGACAGCGGAGCAATTGAAATTGAGCTGGGAACGGTGAGAGCTCCGAGCCCTGGGATAAGGGCATGCCAAAAGGTGGAATTCCTGTCATTGAATATGTAAGCCATATACATGCTATGCATAAGTAGTGTGCATAGTTTTAACTTAAGAAATGTTTGTGCATATAGGATGTAAAAAGTGCATTTAAATTGTTTTGTGTGTCTGGTCCAGGCTTGTATTTAGCATGGACAAATTTCTGTACAGTGCAGTTAACAAATGAAATTGTATCATATATGTTATAATGCAATCGATATTTTTTGCTAAGAGTTAAGAATTTATATATTCTTTGCTAGTGTTTGAGCAAATCATTAGTAGCCTGGACCACTCCGTGCACCTCTGCATCCTTTTTGGGAATGTTGGACTCTTTTTTTTCTTTATAATAAAATGTAAACCATCTTATGGTTTCTTATTGTCATTATGACAAGAAAAGAAACATAATGGTCATATCAGACATTTTTTTAATTGTAAATTGCCATATGCTGTGGCAGCGGAAAATCTTGTGGTTTAAGATCTGAGAACTTGGGATGTTATTTCAGATATGTTGAGCATCTGCAGTTCCCACCAAATTTGAAAAGAACGAGAGATGACTGATATCTTTAAGAACTAGGCCAGTTAGGTATTTGTTTGTTACAAAGTGTTCTTCAACATTGTAATTTATAGTTCACTGAGACTGAAAGTCTGGAGCAATCAGAATTCAATGTTTTTGTTTTAGTTTCAATTTCAGACTTTTACCATAGTTGAACTTGACTTTTTTTTTCTCTGTGTCTCTGTCCCATCGTGACTTATATACTCTGCAAGAATTTTCTCCTGGAAATACAGGCAGAAATTATGACAGGTTCTGCAGAGTACTTGGAGCGTCCTGTGGGGCTCTCAGTGTCCTTTTATTATTATACCCGGCATCAAGATCTGGCACTGCAGAAACTAGAAGGAGTTCCTGATCTCGCAGGAGGCACTCAGAGCCCACAGAACTCATTCATTAATATAGAGGTGTGATTTGTGTATAAATAATCCTATTTGCTCATTTGTATTCAGTTTTAATCACTGTGGTAGATGTTACTGAAATACAAGAAGAAGAGTCCTTAGTTTTTCTTTAATGCCAGCTGATTCTCTTTCTTTCTTCCTTTATTCTTAGCAAGATTTTACCTGGACATGACCCAAAGCTTAGTGTGTTGTTTGGATGAGGAGAAATTTTCTTTGGTGGAGAAGACCGATATAGCCAACACGTGTTAGTTAGGGCTTTGACCTTGGGTGAAATTTGCGTTCGGATGGCAGAAAGGCTTCTTGAGAGGGCCTCTTCCTGAACAATAGTTTCTCTCTGAAACCTGTAAGGCTGCGCTACCAAAACACTGCATGGGGCCATAAGAAATGGTGTTTGTATATGCATCTCTCCCACAGCATTATGGGCATGTACCCCTGCATTAAGCACACCAAGGAGCTGTAGCTATAGATTAGCCCTCAAGAGTTTTATTTTGTATTTTTATCTTGAGATATCTGACAGATATATTATGTAATATTGTTATGGGTTATGATCTAGCCAGTATTTTTTTATTTAATTTTCAACAAGGCAATCTACTACCGTGTGTTTTTATTCTGCTGTATTTGTCCGTATTTCCTATGATGATATTCCCAAATAAATTTGATTTGAGGGCAAGGATTGTGAAGCTCCTGAGTTAGTTCCAAATTTGCGTTCCTGAAGTGTGTTTGCTCATTTACGTATGGTTGTCTTTGGAAAGTGGCGGAGCATAAATGGTTGTTTCCAAACTTTTCACCTGCTTGTGACTCCACGCTTTTTCCATAACTGTGCTGGTTTGCCATACAAGCTCACTTGCATCCTCATAGCACTTGTGAAAACAATTTCTTTAAGCATGTCTTGCTTTCTTAGCCTTTACTGCTAAAATAGCCCTCACGTGAGGAAAACCATAACCAATAGAACATTTTTTCACCCCAAAAAATTCTTACCATGGGTTGGTATGGATGGAGTCACTGGCACTGTTCATGTTAACAACAATTCTCCAGGAAGGGTACGACTTTCAGAGGCACTTCCATGGCACGGTGTAAATTTAGTCAGCTGAGTTCAGTGGAGCAGGGAGTAAACAGGCCCCCTTCCTACTCAAATTGGAAATCAATGGAAAGAATCCCACTGACCTAGATGTGTATCAAATTTTAACAAGGTACATGATGGAAATAAATCAAGACAACTACTTTATATCACATTCTTTGCAGTTCCTTTTTCCCAGATGCTATCCCAGCTACATGTGCAAAAGACCTTCTATTGTATAAATGCCAGAAGTCAAACAAGCCACTATTGTGACCAAAATAACTTCAAATTAACAAATAAATCAAGATCCCCAGTGGTTAGTGTCTAAAATGTATATTTTTAACAGACTATAGAGTTATTACATGAGAAAGAGAAAAATGTAAGTACAACTAATATTCTTCAACAGCAACTTAAAGAAATTTAAATTTACAGTAGTTTAGCAGGCAAAGATTTGTCTGAGAAGGGAGTGCATCCACTTTTAAATCATTTTTTGAAAAATCACATCCTTGAAAACTGGTATGGAAAAATGAGTGGAAATGGCGTTTAATACTATGAGGAACATAAAGTGTCCTCTGTCAAACACAGTATGCAAACATTTAGGCCACTTCCCTGGGATAATTTTACTTTCCTGGTCATTTAATTATTTAATGGGTCTCCAGTGACCCCTTTTCCATGTCCCAGGACAAACGTTCAGAAGTTTTATCAAACTGTGAATGTCCAAATAGTCCCCTGGGAACAAAGAAGCAAGTCATAACCACAAAGTTATAAATGTGAAAAATCTCTTATAAAACCTGGGATTTTAACTGTTTTGGGCTGAACTTTGCTGCAAAATACTTCCCTTGTGCTTAGGCAAGTCCTTTGCTTATAGCCCTTTTGTGGAGAACTGTTGGAGAACTTTCCATTAGCTGAGCTTGGATAGATAATATCTTAACCAAATATGCTTTTCTGACAAATTACATAATATATGAACTTTAAAGCTGATGAGTTTTATGCATTTGTAATATCCTGTATAGATCATTATCGCAAACCTGAAGTAATATAAGATTATACATAAATAAGGTGGTCAAAATCAAAACCAAGGCCCAGGTACAATCTGGGCCTTGAGCTGGAACATGGTTAAGCAGAATAGATGTTTTTTCACCTTTGTTTGGACTGTAGTTATAAAGCTATCTCATCGTCACATAGGGCCTAATGCTGCTAATGTACAAGTAACACTCCTGAACCTGCAAGAAGGACTTTCATTAGAGGAAGACTTTGGGACTTGTATCATAATACCACGAACTAACATCAAATAGCATGAAAGTATTTGCTATTTATTTGTATAAAGCCTGATATGATTATCTTCATCCAAATTCAATGAGCCAAAGGGTCACATTCACCGATGATGCAATTCCATGAAAGCCAAAAGAGCCAGTGTCATTATACCACGAATTAATTAGATAATTGGATAGTAATTGGTTGTCTCTTGCTTTCTTTGTATTCAGCTGGTTTACTGATTGTTTTCTGCAGTGGAGGGTACTCTGAGCGTCTAATGACTCTGTACAAAGCACCACTCAACTTTAAGCCATCTTAAATTCTTATTGAAATTGTGCTTCCTTTTCATTGAGACGTCTCTCCTTTGAGAGAGAACTGTGTTTTGCTTTCCAGTCAGAAATGAACATTCGTCTTTATTGTTTGGGGTACTCCAGTAGTTCACAACTGGAATGAATGGCAGCATATTTGTGTCAAGCATTGTAATATGATCCACGATGCATCTTTATTTTAGCATTCCTGTCCGAGAAAGACCCCTATTCTGTTAGTCACAAGGTGGTTTGGGGTAGGGCAGAACTGTGACTGCAGCCAGAGTAGTTCTGAGGGATGTGTGTGTTCTCAAGTAGATAGTTGGTACAGGAGCAGGGCTACAGAGTTGATATTTCCAGTAAATTAGAGAATAAAAATGGCATGAGCAATTTAAGTATTATTTATAATTGACCTTCATGTCTGTTTTTAATATTCAATCTGCTGAGTGTTTAAAAAAGCAATTAAAAGTCCCATATAATGTTAAAACCCTTGATAAATGTAATAAACAAATGACATATTCAAAAGAGAGAATCTATGTCCCATTAGGAGAGAAAAAGAAAGATGAGAGCAACATATGGCAGTATAATTAGCATGATTAGGGAAGCACATCAACAGAATTTATGCTGCAGGGAAAATGTAATAAGAAACCAACACACTTTCCTCACTGCCTTGAAAACTGCAAATATCGCTCTCTGAAAAGGAGAAGATGCAGAAAGGGTCTCTGGCATTTAAAGCTGTAACTTGTGTTCTTCTGTCATTATTAAAGATGCACACAGCCATCTGCAAACCATTTATTTTTTGCAGCGTTCACATTGTCCCATTGCTTTGATTAATAAGGACCAATATTACACCTCAGCTGCTTTTCAGAAAGATGCTATTTTGGAAACCTAATTAATACTCGTTCCACAGTTAGCTTGAGGTGTTCGTTAGTGCCAGATACTGAGTTCTTATTTGTTTCTCATTATGTGGAGAGTATTGCTTCTCAATGCCAACGTTTTTGTTTTGCATTTTGGAATAACCTTTCGACACCCCCGCTTCCCACAGCCCTCCCTTCAGAAGAGCTAATAACACCTGTCATCATTATTTTAACATGCCGATTATGTCTGTTGAAGACAACGTGGGCTATTTATATAGATAGACTATCCTGATGCACAGCAAATATTCCTGCCATTTTCTGAACAGTTGGGCCAAAGAGAAAAGCAGAATTTAGAAACTTGGCAATGCAATTCAAATCTCAGCTTACCACTAAGGGTCAGTATATACTAAGCAAATGAATCATTACAAAATTGAAACAGAGTATGTTTGGCCAAGCAGTAGTACAAAATATTCCTTCTGCCCTAAAAAGCCCAGATTATTTAATAAACTAAACAAAACAAAACATCAGAAAACCCTATAGCAGAAATGCCCGTTCTATAGATATTGGACTTGTATAAACTCCATCAGCCAACTTTGCTGTAACTGGAGATTAGTAGCATGTTACCAAGTGGCCTGAGGTTTAGTAGAGGGTGCACAAATATCTTTGTTGAGATTTGCCCAAAGTGCTGCTGTCCTCACTGGAAGATAAAGGAGAGAATACAGCAAAGCATAGGAGACATTTAGCATCCACTTCATTGCCAAGTATAATGCTCTGCGTGAAAAGGTCAAATGTAATTGCATGTCAGGAATCAACAGAACTACTGAAACTCTTACTGCAACTCACCATTGCACTGAGCCACTAAAGAAAAAAAAAAAGAAAAAAAGAAAAAGAGAATAGCTGTGGGCCTGAGCACCAACGTGGATGCCATAGAAGAGGAAGAAAGGGGAGCTTTAGGGACAGCATGTTTTAAATATGCCCTTACATTGTACCCCCAGGGCTAGGGGATAGATGACGCCTTATGTACTGCAGGAATAAGGTCCCTCATAAAAAACCCTGTGTCTCAGTCTGTAAGAGAAAGAAAATGAGGGGGCACCCTGCACTGAGCTAGGGACATTTCATTGTATGGTGCCAGCTGCTAGGCTCATACAAAAGCAGCCCCACAGCCTGCAGGAGCCCCACTTAGGTGCCTCCCCAACCACCCTAAGCACTGCAGCCTACCCAGCCCAGCTCTGGAGAGAGCTTGGACAGCCACCCAACAGTTTGCCTTGTGGAATACAATAAATATATTTTCTAAAGAGCAAAAGCTGCCACTCACCTGGCCCTTGGCACTGTAGTCTGTTAGAGGAAATGCAGGTGGACTGGAAGTCCCTTCCTTACTTACTGGCCTGGACCCTAGACACCATGGGAGTCCCTGGCCCAAACATGGGCAGCAGGACCTCTGCCTGCAGCCCTGCCTCAGCGTCAACGCAATGGTGTTGGATGCAATAGTTTTGCTTCAGTAACACCAGTGGTGCAAGAACTAATGGTGATTTTTCAGTTTACATTACTGGGGACAAATAATGACATTATGAGAAGACAGTGGGGTAGTCTTTGAACACTTCAACAGCATTTATGGCAATCTTAAAAAAATGCAAGAAATTCAGTAATTAAATTGATAGCAGGACAAGAGAAGCTTTCCTGTATACTACACATCATATTTCCCCAAAAGAAAGTATGCTGTTGGCCAAAACCTGTGGCCATTCTCAAGTGAAAATCCTCTGACTTCAGTGGAAATTATGCTTTAGAAAGGACTTTTAGATCTTGGCTCTTTGTATCTAAGTATTAGCTGGTTTTGCACCTGGAGAATAAACAGCATATACCATCCTGTAAGTCAAGCTGTGGAATTTTTCCAAATAACTTATTAGCACAATGTCTCAATAAATCTCTCTGAAGGGAAGAACCTGTCATGGAATTACAAGTATAGCGTGTGAAAAAGAAACAAGGCTGTAAAATGCAATAACAAAAAGCCTTTAAACCACTGTACATTAATGAGTTAAGGGATACTGGGAAAAGGCTGAGATCAGTCCAAGGAGACAGCTTCCTTTCAATTCTGCCAATAACATTTCCTGCCATACCTTGAAAGCAAGAACAACAGCAACCGTACCACAGCATGGAAAGGCAATAGATTTAAGAACGTGGAGGAGGGAAGGGGAAAAAA